ACCGCCCTGGTGGGGGCGGGACGCGCCGCCGCCGCCGCCGCCTCCCCTCGCCTGCCCGCTCCCCTGGGCTCTGCCGCCTCAGGAGGGGCCCCGCCGGCCTGGCCTGCTTCTTACACCGTTCCTTATCCCCCTCTGGCCCACGCTCCTGTCCCCGTTCTGGTTTTTAATCAGTTAAAATCACAGCAGGGGACTGCCCGCGCTCCGCACGTGCCTCAGAAAAGCCTGCCCCTGCCCAGTTTGGGGTGCCAACCCTCCGGGATTGCCCTGGGGGCTCCAGGAATCAGATATAAATCTCCAGGAGACTGCTGAGAGTCGCCGGGGCGGGGGATAAATAATAGGGCATTCATCAAAATAAAATATGAAATGTTGAATCCAGTTGATCTGCAGGAGTCCAGTGAATTTTTAAAACGTAATAGTCATGTGCATTTGCTTGCCCGACATAAAGTCTACATGCACTGTAATCTGTAACATATGCACAAGCACGTGGGCATGTTCAGGCTGTGTCTCGGGCGTGGTGTTGTTCTGGAAACCTCCTGGAATAGTTTCAAACAAGGTTGGCAACCCTATGCCCAGCACCCCCTAAGCTCCCAGCTGTCCCTCTCTCCATCTTCTTCATGCCCCCTCACACGTTGCCCTTCCTCATCTCCAACCAGCACCAGCCTCATCCCCTAAACCAGGGGTTCCCAATCCCCGGGGCCACAGCCCAGTACCCAGCCGTGAAGGGTTGGCTGCCGGACTGGAAGTCCAGAAGTGACTGGCATACTGCAAACCGGCAGCCAACCCTTTTTTTATACTGAGTATAATAAGGGGTTGGCTGCCTGCCCACAGTATGCTGGTCCATAGTTTGCCAGTCCATGGTCACTTCCGGTCTGCAGTTTACCAGTCCGCAGCATAAAAAGGTTGGGAACCCCTACCCTAAGCGGAGCCTTCCTTGAAAGCTTGCAAAGAACAGTTTTTCCAACTATTTAGTTGGTCTAATAAAAGGTATCACATCTACTCAAACAGCCTTCCTTGAGGCTTTCCTGGGGCAGAACTTGGGGGGGGGGTGAATTTTGAGGGTACAAAAATAAAGCTCCAGCAATAAAACTCACCACTAAAGCACCAGCTTTCACTACCCAAACCAGTTGCATGGGTCCTTCACACACGGTTTTGCATCTAACGGTGGGGTCGGAAAGTTGCTGACTTCAGGCTCACTCCCTGGAGAATTGTCCTCATGTAGCTCTTCTGGCTACAGCACCGTTTGCCCCTCTGAGCAGCAGAGGTGCACATTTGGGGAATGAGGCTCTCATGTCAGGGGCCAGGAAGCAGTCTCAACTGGAAAACCAGGGTCCTGGACCTGCCAAGGGACTGTTGTCTAAACAGCCACTGCCTTTGAGAAGCTGGTGGAGTGCATAGATAGATGCTCATGTATCTGCAGCATAAACACGGTTCCCCTTCACCTGCTGTGCCGGCAGAGAAATGCAGACCCCCAGGAAGGCGCCAGGGGCTGTCGCAGCTGGTAGACTATGCAGGCCTGCCTACACGTGCCTTCTGCCAGTTGCCAGACAGTAACACAGGCCTCCCTTTGGTGAGGGAAGTCATGTTACTCTGCCAGCAGAATGAAGTTGTTCTGCCCCTGCAGGGAGCTCAGGATGAGAACTGCACACAAGGTTGCCAGCAAAACTACATTATGTAGCTCAGACCCTGAGCCTTAAGCCCTGCTTTCTATCTGGAATCAACTCTGCTCCCTCTGCTGGGGGGAATCTCACCCTGTCTGAAAAGGGCGAGAGCTCTCAGCTCCCCCTCCTCAGAGAGTGAGGGTGGAAACCTTTCTCCCACACCTTGGTGGATGTGTGAGGCAGAGTTTGGTTCTTCCGACTATCTCACAGAGGGACCCACTCTTGCGGATGACAGACACTATCTTTGCTAACAAACCACATTTGCTGCCATGCACAATGGAGCTGTCAGCAGCAGCACCTGTGCTGCTGCATTTGGTCTGCAGCTGGTGATGGTGTTGCTAAGACTTAAAATAACCTGGGGAGTTGCATTTCCTGTGTGTTACTTTAGATGTTAATAAAATCACTCACCACTAACAGTTACAGGGGAAATACACAATCTTGAACTGCATCCTTGCCAGCAGCCTTAGGATTAGGGTCTTACAACAAAAAAATGTTGGTGGGGGAGAAATTTGCATTTTCTATACAACTGATTCGGTGCAGTATATGCTGCGTTTCTGCATCCTGCAAAGTTAATTGCCTGCCTAGCTAGCTCTGCTGTTTTCTGGTCTCCTAATGCCCGCATTTCCCCTAAAGCTTAAACATTAATCTAATCCATAAATGAAACATTTAGAACACTTGATACAGAAAACCTTAATTCTGGCATTTCCTAACCTTCTAAGGGCTTGCAAACTTAATCATATTCTTTTAATGTAGTTGTATGTGTTCTTAAAGAAGAAAATCATGGCCTGTCCAGCTTATGAGCCTGAAGTGGCCTGTCCAGCTTATGAGCACCTGGCATGGGGTATGTCTGCATGCTTTTTCTGGTCAATTTATATTTTTAACACGAAGCCAGGAACTGTCACTCCCGAATGAAACCAAATACAGAAACTTCTCAGAAATGTGTATTGTAGCGGAAAAGCGTGCTTTAGAACCACACATGTCTACTAGATGTACAGCATTTCACAGGGCGTACCTTCAGTCTTTCACTGGCACTGCCATGTGGCGAAACCCCACAGCCACTGAGGCTGCACATCTGTTGTCCTGGGCCATTTCCAGTCTGCCATCACACTGTTGTGTCACCAGCTCAGCAGGCAGCAGCTGTTCCTTTCCTCCTCCTACCCTCAGTGGTGGCTCCTAGGTTGTAAGAAAAGTAGGGGCATTTAGGATGAAGGAGGCCTGCAGCTCTCCAGAGAAGATAAGTGGGGAAACAGTAACATATCCAGATGAAATGTAGAACACCAGGCTGGGAAGCAGGTAGATACAGTGCACCAGGTGGTACAGGGAGGGGAAAGGACAGGAAAGCAGAGAAGAGAAACACATTGTATCAAAGCTACTAGGCAACTGCTGGTGCCTGTCCATTGCCAGTTATAACTCAAGTCAATGAGGAGATACACTCAGCCATCAGGGGTCAAGACATAGCTCAAGTCTTTGCTGTTTCTGATTCAAACCAGAGCCTTGAGCTTGCGTTGTCCGCACACCAGAGGAGATCTCATATTTTCCACGCAATATTTCAGAAGGTTTTGATTTTATCTCATATCAGAATGGAAATGGATTCTGAAACCTCAATATCTTTCACAAAATAGAGATGCTTTCCAGTCTGCCCTAGTCACCGAAGTGCAGATTGCAATGGAGACATGGCTCAGGCATTTTTACCCCTGCATCATCTACAGACATCCAAGCCACAGCTTCCACCTTTGCTCTGATGAAGCACAGCCCCTGAGTCTAGCCTGCTACAGTACTGTGCATGTGGTATAGAAGGGGGTGAGGTGGTAGATACTACAGGAGAAATGGCAGGAACAGGAAAAGAAAGAAGGAATGAAGAGGCACAGTAGAGAGGAGAGAATTACTGGGTTGCTACAGGGACCAGGATGGAGGACAAATAGAGAGCACTACCAGAAGAAGTGTGCCCCAGCAGCTATAGCACGGAGATCAAGGAGATCTACATTCACTGCTCTACTCTGTCATAGACTCCCTCTATGACAACCCTGTAACCCAGATCCTGAAAGGTACTGAAGTGCCCAACTCTCTCTGGCTCCAATAGGAAATAGCTGCCCAAATATCTTTAATAAATCTTGCCTCCCAC